TCGCAACCCATGGCTGGACATCGTTATTATCATACTATCTACGTGGAAAATGAAAAGTAAAAAGAAGAAGCAACTGGACTTGTGTTTGGAGCTGTAAACACATGGAGCTACAGATTTAAACAGCGAGACTTGAGGTTAGTGTCTTATCGATCCTTCACCCCCTCCTCCTGATGAAAAAGTCAGATGAATGAGACATGAGCGTTCACACTGCAGTCACTTTGAAAACATCAGATATGTATCCAATTTAAAAACCACATACTGGAACGGCCTGGGTCGGATTTGAAAAAATCGGATTTGTCTCGTTCAGACTGTCATAAAAAAAATCAGATTTGGGTCAGATTTGCCTGCAGTGTGAATAGGGTTGGGCATAATCGTATCGTGTGTGATTAATCGTCAGAAAAACATTAATCGATTAATTTTTGGCACTTGACGATTAATACGATTAATGCCAGCAGGTAGAGTCCGCTTGCTGCTCCTCTCAGCTTCAAATATAACAAACATTAAAAAAAAGTTCTGTAATTTATCTATCAACACAATTTAAAATTTGATGTGTAGCCTGAAGTCTGTAATTTTGACACAATTTGGAACAGATTTTTATGAAGAGCAAGTCTTTCCCACTAAATTGGTCATGTGACTATGAAATAAGTGTATCCAGGGACTCCAGGGCATTAATCGTCAAATTAATCGTTATCGGCTAAATACCACAATTAATCGTGATTTATTTTTTTGCCAATATTGCCCAACCCTAAGTGTGAACATAGCCTCAGATGGTGTTAGTCAAGAGCTGAACTCAGTGTATTCCTATGAGGTCATTTGACTGTTGTTTTTTGTGATTTATGGTAACTCAAAACCCTATTAAAAGTAATAGCACACCTCCCACCGTCGAGCCAGTCATTGTGATATAACATTTGTAGGGTGCATGTTGCAGTTTGGGTGACATTAATGTATGACTATAAAAAAATATAAAGTATAGAGATCTTTTTTTGAGGTGGATAATAGGTGCTGCTTCACAATGCCTCTGCTCTCTTACTCWTTTGATATGGCAAGCCCTAATAACACAAACTGCTGAACTCATGTACYTAAAGGCTGTAGGATCAGATGAGTTTATTATAAAGAACATTATGTTTGCAGAAATGTTTCTCTGTATTTTCAGAGCTGGAACTAAATCTCATGTGACAAAGGGAGTTAAACATCAACCACCTATTTCCTCCTTTTCCTTCGTCACATGAGAGGCCCGCAGTTCTCACACATGTTTTCTTACATGTTCAGCAAATAAGACCAGGGCTTGTTGYTGAGCTGCTAACTCCAAGATGAACCCAGAGTTCAGGGCGAAGTCCCACACGTCCCCCTCATTTCCAGTGTAGAAGAAGACTGGACCGTGGCCCGCCTTCCAGAACTTATCTAAAGCAGAAAACATCAGTGTTTGTTCTTCTTCTTACACTTTGTTGCACAAAGGTTTTTACCTGTGATCAGGTAGCGCTGCCTGAATGTCGCATTGCCCATGGTGTTAAAGTTGAAGTGGTCCACAGTCTGACTGAAGAACTGCTCTGTGAACAGGGTCTCTGCAGGTCCATGTCGTCTGGACTGGTAAACATTMAAATATATCTTTAAACAATTTATTATATTCACTGTATGAAAACTAAAGTCATAAAGATTGTTTTACCTTTTTTTAAACCTCAACTAAATTAACAGAATAAACTTAAACAAAAGAACAACACTGTGCTGAAAGAGAAGAATCACGAAACCAACTTTATAAGTTTCAGWAAAACAATAAAGCGTCAGGAAACAGAAATGTTACCTGAAGAGCAGTGTTTGGCAGAGCTGTCAGAAGAATGAGAAACACAGTCAGCGTCAAAATACTTAATACTGTCTTCATGTTTCACCGCTGACAGAGAAGAGTCGGCGGTTTCATTTCAGTGCGCATGCGCAGACTGCCTGCCGTCACGTGATTGTTGTGATCAAAGATGCGTTTAAGGGCATCTCGTAAAATCTGCAACTCAATAATAAAATCACATGTGGCTAGGATTGCTTTCCCGTGACTTTACATGGTCGGGGAGAGCAGCAAACTTGTTCAGGGCGAGAACTGCGCTTCATGCAGGAAAAGCTTTGTTTCTGAGTCTGAAACTGTCGGTGTTTCGTGCTGAGAAACCTCCCCAGCTCCGTGAACTCCAACAAAAATCACAACTACAGACAGAACCGTCAGCTGATAAAACTGAACGTGTTAAATTTAGGTCAGCACATCATTAAAACTCAGTTTGATATTGACAACCATTGTTTCGATTTTAAATAAATATATGTCAACAAATGTAATCATATCAGGCAAAAACATGTTGCAGTTAACACACATCTGAAAAGGATGAAATTGATCAAAATATTTATTTGTAGTGGTGAGTAACACTGCATTATAATTCATTTAGGTCAAACTTTGCCATTTTAAATCTAMTGTTTGTTTATTTAACCTGCAGTAATTGCAGTATGGTCAATTTAATTTATTACAGTTATGATAAATGTTCAAATTGTCAGCCATCAGATTCGATTTATTCTCTGCAACATTAAATTACACTGACATACCTCAGTACACAAGTACTAACTGTATACTACACAAGTACTAACTGTATACTACACAAGTACTGACTGTATACTACACAAGTACTAACTGTATACT